CGCACAGCACGGCGCAGTTGCTTGTGTGTTTGTGTGTGCCCATGTTTGAGTGTGTGTGTGTGTGTGTGTTTGTGTGCAAAGCTACTTTCGTATTCCTGTTGGGCCACTGGGCTACCTTGACACTTTTTGTTGGATCTCGGCGATTAAAATACACGCGAGAAGTGCCCAACTTGAAAAGGTATTTTCTAGGGCAAATACTTCATCTCATATATAAATACCTCTTGCTTTTGCTGTAGATATAAAATAATGTTTGTTTTATAATCAGCTTTTGTGTGCTTCTAGTTTATATTTGATTAAAAGTGTGTTTGTCCAAGAAGTCCCTCAATTTCATGGCAGCTCTGGGCTCGAATTTTTGGTTTTTATCGAACAAAGAGTGAGAAAGAGAGGGGCAGGATAGAATGAGAGAGATCGGAGAGCTTGTGTAACAATCGTCGAGCATTTCATGAATTTGATAGTCGCATTAATCAATTTACTTTGTACATTAAAAAAAAACAATTTTTAAGTAATGAATGAAATGAAGTAGAAAAGAATTCTCATATATCAGATATATCAGAATAAGTAATAAACACAGAGTACTCCTCACATTAATACGGCAAATAACTTTAATTTCGCATGCACTCATTTATTCTCTTGATAATTTTGCTGCTTTCATATGATCTTCCTCCTGTTTGGTTTCACTGTACATATGAGAAGTTACTTGATTTACGAGCTGCTTTAAATTTGTTGTACACCTTGCAGTTGCTTCAACTGCCGGCACAGGGCGTATATCCAGTTGTTGTTCTTCTTCTTCTACTCATCTCTGGCAAATGTGAAATATATTTTGTTTACGACTTGAAGTCGGCTCCACTTGTGGCATGCGGCAGAGTCAGTTCTCTCTCGCCCCCACTCTCTCTGTCTAGCTCTTGCTGAAGCTTGTAGCGGGCCTTGCGCGTGTAGCTCTAACAACAGATTTATGTAAAACTTATTTATTATTGTCTGTGGCAAGCAGCTGGCCTGGGCCATAGGGCCCATTATTGTGCCTGCATGAGGGGTGGGAATTAGCTTGTGGCCATGCGCGTATTAAATGCTAATTTATGAGACGCCAATGCGACCCACTCTGGGCTGTGCATAAAAATGTGATTTTCTCTTTGCAGTTTTAGTGCTGCCCATCAACCATAAGCTGGAGCAGGCAAAGAGTTGAGTCGCGCTGAGCTGAGTTGAGCTGGTTGTAAATGTGCGAAAAGGCAAGATTAATTGGGTGTTATTATAGCCGAGTCCATTGCGCGGGCGGGCGGTGCATGGTGAAGGGTTCGCTCAATTTATTCTGCTCGGCTGTGTGGAAACTCTTACGCACTCAGAGATGCACAGCCCCGGGCCCCGGGGTATGCGAGAGTCCATTGTGAATAATTGGGATATAACTTTAATGTACTCGAGTTTCGAGTATTCTAGGTTCACTCCACATTGGCAGCGCCCAAACTAATGCAGCCTCGGTTCGAGCCAATTTGTTTTTCACCGTGAATTGGACCTTGTTCTGCATTGTAACTGAATATTGTGCATTAGTGTGCATGGTGAATGTGCATTCATTATGGCCAAATTGCATATTTTGCTGCTGCCCGCAGGCATCGCATTCCTGCGGCATTTGACGGCTTCAGTTTTGGTTAAGTGTATAGCGGGGCGGGGAGTGGTGTTGCAGTTTACTGTATTCATTAGCATTAATTAATGCAATTTCAAGGATTCAATAATCAATAAAGCGGCGCCATAAATTATATAAATACTAAATGCCAGTCAAGCTGGGAATTAGTTATGCAAATGATTTAATCTCTAAAGAATTATATGGCACAACCCAAAGCTATGCGAGACTTCCATGGACAGCTTGTGATGTCTAATGCATAAATCAATCCAATTTTAAAGCAGCAGAAGTCAGAGTACTCTAGTGGGTAAACGAGCTTCCGATTTGCCTACGCTTCTTTTATAAATACCAGACATGTGAAAAGTCGTTTCGCACACTCATACATACGCAATAGAAAACATACATGAGCTTATGAGACTTACCAGGAAAAAATTAATTGTTAATGGAATTTCTTTGAAATGTTCAGCCGATTAATTGGGTTTTAACAATTCGAAACATTTAAATATATTACATTTGTTACAGGATCTAAACAGTGAATTGAAAATCTTATGTTTTGTAATTACATTTAAGAAACTACAGAATATTATAATAAACGAGAAACAGCATGAATTCGCAAAATATCTGTTGTCTTTGTTTTATTATCATTATTAATAGTTTTATTTGATTCTTAGCCCTTTGTTTTTTGACTCTAATTAGCTGTAAAACAGAGATGCAACTTTTACTAACTTTCCGTGTATATATGTTTCTGTATGTAATATATATGTATGATTCAAATTCCATGCCAATATCCTCACAAGTGCAGTAAAGGACATGCAGACAGTGGCATGGAACATTGCACAAATCGAAACTATACATTTTCTTTGGAAGGTCGAAAGCCTTTATTTTTTGTTTCCTTTACCCAAACTTGCTCAAAATAATATATTTTCCAACATATACATACATATAGTTTCAGTAATTTTTATACCCTGAACCCATTGAAAATGGGAAATCAGGGTATAATGGTTTTGTGAAAAAGTATGTAACGGGCAGAAGGAGGCGTGGCAGACCCCATAAAGTATATATATTCTTAATCAGCGCGACGAGCTGAGTTGATATAGCCCTGTCCGTCTGTCCGTCCGTCCGTCCGTCCGTCCGTCCGTCCGTCCGTATGAGTGCGTCGATCTCAGAAGTTATAAGAGCTAGAAAGCTGAAATTTGGCATGCATACTCGTGTGTACCATACGCAGTACGAGTTTGCTTTATTTTTTCGATAATTCATCCGATAACTTTTTTATCGAGCATAATCGAAAAATCGGCATTGTTTTTTCAGCCTAATTTGAACATTTTTATACCCTGAACCCATTGAAAATGGGAAATCAGGGTATAATGGTTTTGTGAAAAAGTATGTAACGGGCAGAAGGAGGCGTGGCAGACCCCACAGAGTATATATATTCTTGATCAGCGCGACGAGCTGAGTCGATATAGCCCTGTCCGTCTGTCCGTCCGTCCGTCCGTCTGTCCGTCCGTCCGTCCGTCCGTCCGTCCGTCCGTCCGTCCGTATGAGTGCGTCGATCTCAGAAGTTATAAGAGCTAGAGAGCTGAAATTTGGCATGCATACTCGTGTGTACCATACGCAGTACGAGTTTGCTTTATTTTTTCGATAAATCATCCGATAACTTTTTTATCGAGAATAATCGAAAAATTGATTTTGTTTTTTCAGCCTAATTTGAACATTTTTAGACCTGGAGTGTTCAAATTTGGGTTGTATATAAAGTTAATCGATACAAAGATTTTGTAATTTACAGATTTTGGATACCACGCCCCCTTCGCCCCAAATTTGTAAAAAACGCATTTCAAGTACTAGAGACTTGTGCTTTGGAATGTACACACATATTTATCATATGATTACACTCTGAAAGTTTCATTAAGATCTTATGTCTACAAAAGAAATTATTCAACAAATAAATTCTCATAATATGCCCACACTGCAGCGCAGCCCAAGCGCAGTCGCTGCTTACTGCGCAGTCGCTGCTTACTGCGCAGTTAGCAGAGCGCAGGCTTATGCGTGCGTGTGGTTGCATGTGTATGTATGTGTGCATAGAAGAAGTGCAGAATGATTAGAATATCAGCTTAGAGGGTTCAGGGTATCTCCTAGTCGAGCAGTCTCGACTAGAGCCTTCTTACTTGTTTTAAATAATTTAGTTTGGTTTGTTTATTCACAAAACTAAAATGTGTTTTTATAAACTGGCTTCACCTGAATATTTTTATTTAGTTTCATTTATGAATTATTTGTATACATATAGAAAATAAACTAAAATAGAATTGCTCGCATTTTGATGCAATATTGCATAGTCATTTGCTCTGTTGCACTTTGAAGTGGCTCGTGCATCTCGACTGTTTGGCATTTGTCTGCTTAAAATGCGCATAATTTCTGATGCATTTGTCAGTTTGACATTTTATACCTTGAACCCATTGAAAATGGGAAATCAGGGTATAGTGGTTTTCTTGAAATGTATGTAACAGGCAGAAGGTCTGTCCCTATGTATGAACGCGGCTATCTCAGAATATATAATAGCTAGAGACTTGAATTTTTTTTCTCTCTCCTCTCCTCTCCTTCACCAATCCTCCTCTCCTCACCTTCCTCAAGGTCTTAGGTTTCTTAGGTCCCCTCCTTAGGTCTCTGCCCCTCAAGGTCTCTACTCTCTGTCCTTCTCTCTGTCCCTCTAATAATAAATTCTCATAATAATCCCAAGCGCAGTCGCTGCTTACTGCGCAGTTAGCAGATCGCGTGCGTGTGGATACGTGTCAACATTTTCGAAAACCAGTAATAAATTTATATCTCCTACATCTTTAAAGGTAGAGTCTACAAATTTTATATGTATACTTATATACATTTTATACAATTTCGGTTTCAATTTACCCCCACCCCTAATTCACCCCCTCATCCATACATTTGTAAAAGGCGTATTTCAAATACTAGGGACTTATGCTTTGGCAAATACATGTATATCTATGTTATATTTATAATCTGAAAGTTTCATGAATATAGTCCATCCACAAGAAAAGTTATTAAACAATTAAATTCCCACAGTAAGCCAACACTGCAGCCAATGCGTGTTTATGCGTGCGTGCGTATGCCTGTGTGTGTGCGTGTATGTGTGCATATGCGAATAATTATTGAAATATCAGTTGCTCGAAGGGTTTAGGCGATCTCGTAGTCAAGCAGTCTCGACTAGAGCTTTCTTACTTGCTTTAATTTCATCTCTTTCCATTTGGTTGCACAGATGCGAATTGTAAATATTTATTTTCAGTTGTAAATTATGCGGACAGTAGCATCTGCTGCAAGCGTTTCATACATGTTAATTTACCTAATTAACATTATGTTCATCTGCCGTTTATCTATCTATTCACAGGTGAGGGGAAGTACCTGCACCTGTCTACTGGACGCCGATTGCGCAACAGCCGATGACAAGATGTTGAAGCCGATTACTTTCATTATAGGTATTTTTTATTTAGGTGAGTTGCGTATCCGTTCATTTTTTTTGTCCAACCCATTTGCATTATTAATGATGGTTCTTTAATTGAAATTCGGCATGCGAAATGTGCGACCAATTAATTAATCAAATTTGCCAGAAATCAGAAAACGTTTTCAGCGCGAACGTTTTTTTGCTTATTAAGACGAATAAAACCTGTGACATGTGGTTATTTAATTGTATTTATGACTGTGAAATTCATTTTGAGTAAATTTATTTATTATTTTATTCAAAAATATTCCATTTGCAAATTGCAATTCGAAATTTAATTAGGTGCACAGGTTGCGAATGCACTGTGCGACGAGTAGCTCCACAACTGTATACTTACCCTTGGCAGCAACCTCACAGAGCTTTTTAGCAAGTTCATCAACCGCAGTGGTCTCCTAGCTTTGGGTAAATATTTTGCAGCTTTCATTGAAATGTGGTTGCTAACTTTGCTTAACGAAACGAACGAAAGCTGTACTTTACGCAGCTAATATATTTGATGAATCTATCTATTGAACGAATGGTAATTGAATTGAACGAATTTAACCGATTCAGTAATTTCCTCTTGGTTTATGCCTGAGCTAAAGGACATTTAATTTTAAGCCTAACGAAACTGCTGCGGTTGAACCTTATGTATCGACGATATATGAAAACTTAACGATAGAGCTTTTTCTGTTATTTAACGTAGATGGGAAGTTCAAATAATTTACATAAGAGTGTGCTCTACAGATTGTTTGGTATATCGAGCAATAAAATATTTAATACAACATGTAATGAACATAATTATATAATAACTACCATTAGATTTAGTATTTAAATAACCCAATCGTTTCCACTCATAAGTCAAAAATTAAATCCAATTAATTGGCACATTTGAGTAAGTTACTGCCGCAGAATACGTTATTATTGTCAGCAGCATAACTTTTACAGCGCTGCCATTAAAAATTAGAAAGCAAAGTCTCACAAGGGGTGGAAAAATAGAAAAAACCAACAGCAAACAGCAAACTATAATTATGTTTATCTTAATTATATTGCGTGACGTTAGTTTCTTATTAAGCAGCAAAAGCAACAAAATCGCCGAGTCACAAAGTCACCTGCCACAACAATCAAGCGAGCCACACACATCCATACATACATTCATGCATATTCGTGAAAGCCCTTGCGGAATTATTACAATATACAAAGAGCCTGGGCACCCACTCAAGCACTGAGCCACTAAGCCACCTAGCCGCATTCAGTCTTTGCAAACACACCTCCGGGAGTCACAATCGCAGTCGAAGTAGGAGAAGGAGTCGGAGTCGGAGTCGGAGTCGCGTGTGGGAATCACAGCACGCTCCGGCAAGTCGCCAGCAAGTGGTCAAGTGGCGCCTTCGTCCTTAGCTTTATTTGCATATAAAGCGTGTGTTGGCGCCAAGCAAGGGCCAGGTGTGGGGATAGAGGGGGCTGCTTAGTTTGTTTTTGTGATTTCTTGCGCCTCGCTGTTTCCAAAAGGTATGCCAAGAAATTAAGCACACTCGCCACAATTGCGTGTTGGCTGCTCGACTGCTCGGCTGTTCGGCTGGCCGGGCGTATGCGCAATTCGAAGTCAACATTCTGACCCTTATGGCTCACGCAAATCAAAGTGCACGTCATTACCTTGAGCCTTGGGTAGGGGAATGAGACGGAGATGGCGATGGAGACGGAGACCTCGCTGAATCAAGTGGCAGAAATTTATTGTCAAAGCTTATCGAATGCAAATGCTGTCCAGCTAGCTGGCAATCCCTTGAGCGCACGCTTGATCCATTTCATTTATGTTAGCCAGAAGCCAAATCAATTGCTCGGCCTTATGCAATTGGCCATAGTTGTGGTAAAGGCAGCCCGGGATAAATCAAAATAATTAAGTCGCTTTAAATTGAGAGCGTATCGAAGGCAAGCCGTGCAATAAACTGAACGGCATTAACCAAAGTCTCAAGTGGGGCTAATAAGCTTGAGACAGCGCTAATTTTACCCTCATTAAACAAACTGACATGGCAGACAAGTTGAGGCCAAGACAGCAGCGGCACTCTCTCTCTCTCTCTCTCTCCCCTTTCTCGCTTTGCTCTTAACTGGAAACTGGTAACGTTTTAGAGGCTCAATAAACCCCAACGAGCTGGCCGACCCCATCGACCGAGCAGAGTCTCCTCCGACGGCAAAAAGGGCTCGATGCGAGCGTTGGCAGTCATTAACGGCAAACTGCTTCATCATTTAATAACCCAAAAGTGAGCTGGTTAAATGCCGAGGCAGCCCCGGCTGTTGGCCCCAAAAACAACCAATGCCAAACCCCAACGCACATACTTACAAGGGCCCACAACAGCTTGAGCAACCAAATAAAAAAAACAAAGAGGAGAAAAAAAACACAAAGAAGAGAAATGGCGTAGAACATGCCACACTTATTTTTATAGATTTCATTTTAACGCCGAAAAGGCAAACGCATCCAGTCTATACGTATGTATGTGTGTGTGTGGGTGTGTGGAGGGATGAGGGGGTACATTTTCTTTGGCAAGCTGGCATAGCTGGCATGCCTACATCAAATTGGCAAGGCGTCAAGCCAGCTTGCCCGCCTGCCCGCCTGCCCGCCCGCCTGCCTGGTAGCCAAGAGACTGAAAAAGGGTTCATTATGGCAATTTGCTTAAGCTTGTGAGCCCAGCCCTTCCCTCTAACGGGGTAGTAGCCCTTGGCAAGCTTCGAGCCTGTCTCTTTTTACTCTCTCATCCTTTTTTGCTTCTGTAGGTGTGTGTGTGTGAGGGAGCATCTTTAAAGCCTACGCACTGAAAAGCGCGGCACACTCTGGCGGCTTCTGCTTGGCAGCCTCCGCGAAGGCCGTTTCGCGCACACTGCGCCGCCAAAGTTCATAAAATATAATGATAGGCAATATTTGTTTGCTCCTCGGGGCTGGTCAATGTACGCGAAGTTTTCGGATCCTTAAAGCTGCCCCCAGCCGTAGCATGCGCTGCAGTTCAATGCACTGCCTTGTATGAGGCAACTCTCTGTCGGGACTTGAGCCTGCTGTGCCCCATTGACGTTTATGACATGATTTCGCTGAGGCATACCAATTTTTTAATTGCGGGGGCTGAGCATTTCGATTGCGGCACAGTGAAATATTTGAGAATGCACTTAAGTGCAGAAGGCAGCCTGGGCGACAATTGCAGCCGCACTTGAATAATGCACGAAGACCACGCAATGCAAAGCTAATGAAAAAGTCGACGAAGCTAATGACAGTAGCTTTAAAACTGTGGATTGAAGCTATCAGCTTAATTATGAATTTTATATATAGTAGAGTAAACAATTAGCTTTAGCTGAATGAGCTCTCATAAAGTTCTCGATATCTATTTATATGTTAACTGACTTAGACTTCTATATTTATGAAATAAATCATAAATGCAGCAACGTTGTTTTAGAGTTTAAGCTCAGCTATTAGCTCTATATCTACTATTACAACTCTTCTATATCAGCACATCCCAAATACCATGCAGACTGTTCAAGCATTTAATCTTTAAAGCTAATCTCATTTCCATTCCACAAAGCTCCATATTCATTGCATTTATTGGCCTTGATTAATCTAATCTGCTTGCTCAGCTTTAGCCAAGTGTCACTCGACTCAAGCAATAAATGTCGACTCCGCCCAGTTGTCGTCTGCGGGCGCCGGAAGTCGGCTGCAAGCGTTTGGATTGGGTTGGCGTGTTGGGCCTTCAGCATATACATATATATATTTTTTTATTACTCGTGCGTTTGTGTTGCGCTTAATTATATTTGCGTGTGGCCGAACAATTCTTGGCTGGCTCGAGGCGACTCAGCTCGGCTCGGTTCGACTAGGCATGAGATTGTGATTTGAAATTTGTCTGGAGCTACGCACTTAAAATATTATTTGCTGCGCTTCTGAGGAGCTCCGTCATCCGGCAGGTGAGCAGGTGAGCAAGCGAGCAGGTGAGCAGTCGAGGCGTCACTTTATTTCAATGTCCTTGCGTCATTGTTGGTTGTTGTCCTGCCGTCCTGTCGTCCTGTGCGCGCATTGTCAACGACATGATTTGTCATCCTCCGTCGCGTTTAATGAAGCGCCCGATTTGGCCGATGCGGCGCCTTCACTCAACTCACTTCATTGCGGCTTTGATCGATTGCTCAACACGTTTTCTGACATTCTCAACCAGCTGGCGTGCTGTGGCACCTCTTGTAGTAGTTGTTGCTGTTGCTTCTGCTGTTTGGCCATTAATGGGTAATAAGTAAATTGCGTGCTCGTCGCTGGACGCGTCACACTCACAGTGATTGCTCACTTTTCGACACTTTCGTCTCGACTTTCAGCGAATAAAACGTTCGACGTTTGACGTTTGTTCGCTTAGGACATGACCGGAGGCCAGCTCTCGATGCCCGAAATGGCCGTCCATTAATCAAAGCAGACAACTGAGGTGCCTGAGGTCGAGGCGGGCTGTCAGGCTGGTTGACCAATGGGCGTGGCTTGGCTTTTTTTTCGTCAATTCCGTTTGCATTTTTCATTTTCCCATTAATAGTATTATGAAGATATTTCGAGTCGATGCCGGCAGCCGTGGCTAAAGCACCGACTCGGCGTATGCGTAACGCATTGTTTAGTCGGCATTTGCGCTTTGTGTGCCAAGTAATTAGTGGCAGCAGCAAGGGCAAAGGCAACAGCAGCGGCAACACCGAGGGAGCCACAGCCAGGTACAGGGACAGGGACAGGGCAACGTCAAATATGGTAATAATAATTGCTTTGAAGTCGCTTCCTGCCAAACTACGAGCCGAAAAGCCCACCAAGAGCCGATTTACCATTCACGATGTAGTTTGCCAGACGCCTAATCTCTGCGTGTACGAATATGTTGGAGTATTTATTCAAATTAAGGTCAAAGGCGGCTTCGTACGTATTTCAATGTGTGTGCGTGCGAGGCTTTGTGCATGTGTGCGTGTATGTTTGTGTGTGTTTGTGTGCCTCCCTTGGCTAATGTTGTTTTCAGTGGCAATTTATGTTTTCAG